TTGCTGTTTTCAAATCCCTATACTGCGAATATTTTACGTCGATCAAAACTCACGCGTCCCTGAACTTTTAAAAACAACCCGCGCTAGACTCCCACCTCTAACCATTTATTTTCATCAGAATTCGAAATGTCAATGGATTTTTTCTGTAAATGCAATTTCCAATTCTCTTCCAAAGGTAAAACATACTGACACTGTTTATATTCAGCCATTTTTTAACCCCAGTTTATAGGATGAATTTCGAAAAATGCAAAAACAAGTATTATTTAATTGTATTGAAGAGCATTCATATCAAGTGTCATGTACCTAATTCTGATCATAAATAATTTTTTTGGTTGTATTATAATTTATAACGTGTTTTTCAGTAAAAATAAGATAATCTCCCGCGGTAAAAAGTAAAATTCTTCACTCTGTTTCGACGTGAAAGAAGGACAGACAGACAAACAAACAAAAAAACACACTCACATTTATAATATTAGTATGGATATTAATGACATAATGGTATTACAATGTACCTACACACATTCTAAAACACAACAATTAAACATATAGCTATATCTATATAAAAATGTATTTTTTTAGTAAACAAAACGTTTAAAAATCTAATTCTTACTAAAGACACTAAAACGCAGACAAAACCACGAGACTATGAATTATAACATATAATATATCAAATAATATCTTATAATAGGTACTCTATATGTAAATACTTTCTAAATTAGTCGCCAAATAGTATCTTAAATGCGCACCATTAAATAAATATTTGATAATAATCGGTCAGAAATAACTGTAAAATCGTAATTCCATTGTGCATGTTGCAACAAGTGTCATGCGATCGCGCAGAGTAACTAGTTATAACTTGTTAAAATTGTATTAGTTAGGACAAGGAACGGTACCTTTGAATACTCAGATTGAAATAAGCTATTATCGTTGTAATATGAAGTAATGTTGTTATCTGTATGGCGAATTTCCATTTTAAGACTTATTTATGCGAGCGTCATGTTATTTGGAATGCGTATTGAAGGATAAATTACAGCTTTAAATAAGGAATTTTAGTGTGTTGAAAAATACATATAAATCTATTGTAAGCACTCTAATATATTAAACATATTGTTATGTTCATACATAATAAAATAATAAAGATATATAAAAACTAAAAAAATTGTAAAAGGAATTGAATTTACCTTAAATAGGACAAGCCTCTTTATAAATAATCCCTCTTTTTATCTAATCCCATGACATTGGAATTTATTACTACTGGCCATATTGATAATATCCTGGATAAATATATGGGATAAATCTTATCGACATTATTATCAACTATTCACGTGGGGTAGAGCCGCGGGAAAATATTAGTTAAAAAATATATAACACATTTGTGAGTTTTTCGAGCTCTCAAAATGAATAGAATGTAACTAACCATAAATTATTTTGAAACGGTCACTAATGGATGTTTTTTGTTTTCTAAATTATACTTTATAGCTTAGATTATCCTTGTGGTTTTTCTAAATATATATATATATATATATATATATATATATATATATATATATATATATACCGTATGTTAAATGTACATGTGTAGAGATAAACTTGGACTCTGCTTTATATCCGTATATTACGATTGACTTGAACTTGAACAGAAGCTTACGCTGTATTATTATAGAGTTCCTAATTTTTTCTGTATAAACAATTGTTCGAAAGTCCCTAATAATGAAAGATACAGATAGATTTGGAAAGATTTGTTTGTTTGTTTGTTTGTACCAAATAGGCTCCGTAAGTACTGAACCGATTTAAATGAAATTTGGTAAAAATATAGGTCCAGACCCTGGGAAGGACATAGGATACTTTTTATCCCGGAAATCATCCCTTAAGGGGGTGAAAATGGGGATGAAAGTTTGTATTGGAAACCCAAGCGAAGCGAGGGTATGTCGCTAGTATATAAGTAAAGCTAATAAAACCTCCCGATATGAATGATGCTCTTACATACAGAGATAGATCTTTTTTCAGCCGTTAGTATCCCACTGCTGGACAAAGGCCTCTTTCTTCTCCTTCACCTCTGCTTGATTTTTAGTAACCTGCCAGTCTTTTGTAAAGACAGATACATAACAGGCAAAAAACAAAACATTACTTATATTATACTTCTGTTCCTTATGAAACCACAGATATATTTAAAACTCGAAGTAGTCATTATTTCAATACATGTAAGTTACATATTCGTCAGTTAGTTTTAAAAAACTCATGAATCAAAAACACATGATTTTCAGATTATGTTAAGTACCTGTTACTATAATATATTCTCCGAAATAGGAACTCAAATCTCGTCTTACTCGATGTTCCTTATATAGTTGTATTAAAAACATCCCATATAATAAATCCACGATGATTCATTGAATTAAAACCGCGGTCAAAATTCTTAGAAGGTACTGAGATGGAAAAAACTAAGCAAAACACAAGAACTGACTGCGAAATGATATTTTTACATAGCACGAGTACGACACGATTACGACTCTGATCGGATTGTGACTGTTTTATAAATAACTCTAAAAAACTTTAGAACAGACTAATTTCCCATGGGACGCAACTAACTATAGGATAAGAAAGAGTGCATATTACTCTCCAGATTATCAGTTAAATCTATGTAAGAAATCACAAAGATCGGTGCAAGAAAGTATGCCAAATCAATAAACAAACAAACAAGCAAACAAACAAACAAACAAACAAACAAACAAAGTAACACGTTTTTATAGTACAAACATTATCTAATTCATAATATAATTTTAACATCGTTGATTGTAAAGTAATCTAGAATTAAAAATAAACGCCGGCTAAAATGATTTTCTTATAAATCAATCATTCTTGCTATGTAAGAAATAATAATAATAATATTAAATAATAAACATACTTATATTTATCTGAAAATAATATGAACCTTGGCCTAAAAGAAAAAAAATATATATAAAAAGTTTTAATATGTATTTTTTTTTACTTCTTACTAATGAAATCAACACCTGCTTAAATGTTATCGAAGTATACATATTTTATGATAACAAAAAAGATTATCAAGTCAAACATCCATACTAATATTATAAATGTGAAAGTGTGTTTGTTTGTTTGTCTTTCTTTCACGTCGAAACGGAATGACGAATTGGCGTGATTTTTTGTGTAGACATAATTGAAAGGCTGGAGAGTGACATAGGCTACTTTTTGCCGCGGGAGATTATCTCATTCTCACGGGAAAACACGTTATAAGGCAATCCAAAAAAATATTTATGATCAAAATTACTTGAAACTTAGTACTAATGCTCTTCAATAAAATTAAATAAATACGTGTTTTAGCATTTTTCGAAATTCATCCCTTAATGGGATAAAATAGGGGATAAAAGTTTGTATGAAACCTACCTTTTTAGATTTTGTTCTATAGTTTAGCGCGAGCAAAGCCGTGAGTTCTGCTAGTATATTATAAATACGAAATTGTGTTTGTCAGTTTGCTTGTCACTTTCACATTGTAATAACTAAACGGACTTGAGTGATATTTATAATGGAAATAGCTTTTATTCTATACGGATATACAGACTACATTTTATTGACATTACCAGACGAGAGACACCGGAGTCAAAATTAGAGAAAAAAATATACATAACTTATTCAACCAAGGTTAAAGCTGCAATGTCACTTAAGTATAATAATAACTTACAAAATATCCTTAATTTATAAGTAAGTAAATCTTTAAAGAAGATTTACAGAAGTAAATTTAAAATCTGGCGACATATTTTGATTGACACTTGACTCCTACTTAACATATTCAACAATTGTTATTATAAAACGAGCCACTAATTTGTATACAATAATCTGATTTTGCGAATACAATAGTGTTTTGCTGATTATAATATTATTATGAACAAAAAAACAGACGGTCATGATGAGTAAACTTTTCAGTATTATATAAATGACGTTGCAGTTGGGTAACTGTGAATTTATCTACACTGTATACTATTATAATGAGGAAATTTTTGTATTTTTGTATGTTTGTAACGAATTAATTCAAAAACTACTGGATCGATTTAGATGAAATTTGGTAACAAGATAGTTTGAGACCTTGGGAAGGACATAGAATATTTTTTATCCCGGAAATCATCCCTTAAGGCGGTGGAAATAGGGAGGAAAGTTTGTATGGGGAATTAACCTATTTTTCTTAGCTTATTACAAATTAGGAATTAATAAATAAACTTAATTTTATATACAAAATAAATGCACACTTAGTTGTTACTGTACAAGTCATGTCCGCGTGGAATAGTGGCAAGAATGCTAGCCGCATTCCCCCGCTGAATGACAACGCCGATATTTATCTACTAGCATTGCCCGCGACTCCGTCCGCGTTCAGATGACCAAAAACCAAATTCTTAGGTTTACATAGTATTAGTATATTCTTACATTAGTATTTGTAGTTTTTCTCAGAAACGAAATATTTTTCCGCGCTAAAAAGTATCCTATATGATGACCCGGATAACCAGCTATCACCATATCAAATTTCATCAAATTCCCTTCATTGGTTTTTCTGTGATGCGGTAACAGACAGACAGACAGACAAAAATTCTAAAAACTATAGATTCGGCCTCTGTATCGATAATAATGTTTATTTCAATAAGATTTTCCAATAAATATTGTACAGATTCGGCTTAGTTACAATTTTATTATATGTATAGATAAATATACAAATCATCTAACATCCAGACGAATATACATAATCGTGTAATATGTGGCAATATTTCAATTTAAAATACTAAGAAATTCTTGTAAAATTGTTTCATGACAAATATTTTCTCAAACCTGTTGTGTATACTATACTTAAATGTTAAGTAGTCTATGGTCTGTATTAGCATTATTGTTTATGGTTCATCTATGTAAGCACATTTTGAGAATAAGCATTGTTGAAAATACATTACAAAATGGCGACGAGGATTCAAAATTAATAAAAAGAGAAGATACGGAAAATTGGAAAAATGGCAGGAAAAATGTACATTGGAAATGTCGACTATGATGAGAGTGAGAAATTTAGTGATTATATAGAACGCTTTGAGATGTTTCTAGAATGTAATAAGATAGAGGCTGCCCGGTGGAAGGCGGTATTTTTAAGCGTCATTGGCTCAAAATTATTTAGCCTGTTGAAAAACCTGTGCACACCAGTAGCACCAAGGGAAAGGACATATGAAGAATTAAAAAAAATTCTTATGAATCATCTCGAACCAAAACCAAATGTGATCACGGAGAGGTATAAATTTGGCCAGAGATGTCAAATGTCGGGCGAATCAATAAATACATATTTAGCAGAATTAAAAAAGCTATCTCTATATTGTAATTATGGAGAAAATCTAACAGAACAAATAAGAGACAAGTTTATCTCGGGTCTAAGTAATGAGAAGATAAAACAAAAACTACTAAATGAGAGTGAAGTTACATTAGAAAAAGCCTACAACATAGCAGTGCAGTTAGAGAACACCGATCGAGATTTAGAGGTGATGACTTCCAAGGTACACAGGATAGGTGTGGCTGGAAAGAAGCGAGGAGGACAACGGAATGATACCTGTGGTCAGCTGCAGCAGAGTGCTAGAAGTAATAATAAGTTATGCAAGTGCTGTGGAAAAGGGGGTCATTTAAAAGAAGTGTGTTGGTTTAAAGATAGGAAATGTAGATCTTGTGGTAAGATTGGACATTTATTGGCAGTTTGTAGATTTAAGAAAGGTAAAAAGCTTTGTAATTATATTGAAAATGAACATAATCAGGACATTGTTTTAGAGGACATACAAAATTTATTTACATTAAGTGATACTCATGTTTCACCTTATAAACTTGAATTACAAATAAATAACAAAAAGGTAATGTTTGAAATAGATACTGGAGCAGCTATAAGTGTTATAAGTCAATACATAAAAAATAAATATTTCAATGATAGTGAAATGTACAAATGTAATCTTAAACTCAGATCATATGTAAATGATTTAATTACTCCCTTAGGTTTTATAAATGTAGACATTGCTTATGATAAAAAGAAAATGAAAGCGAAATTATATGTAATTGAGAATGGGGGACCTTCTCTCATTGGTCGTGACCTTTTAAAAAAAATAAATATTAAAACATTAAATATAAATTCATTAAGTTGTGAAAATATTAAAGATAAATTGGTAAGTAAATTTCCTGAAGTTTTTAGTTCTGAGTTAGGGACATACAAAGGAGAGCAGGTCAACCTAGTACTAAAAGAGAATGTGTCACCTAAGTATTATAAAGCTAGATCCTTACCGTTCAGTATGAAACAATTAGTAGAAGAAGAAATAAATAGGCTGGTGAGTCAAGGTGTATTGACTCCGGTAAAAAGTAGTGAGTGGGCAACACCCATAGTACCAGTTTTAAAAGGTAATGGTAAGTTAAGAGTGTGTGGTGATTTTAAGGTCACAATTAATCAATATTTAGAGGATGACAAGCATCCTATACCAAAAATAGAAGATTTATTTGTTAATTTAAATAAAGGTGAAAAATATTCAAGAGTTGACTTAGCACATGCTTATCAACAATTGATGTTGACAGAGGAGGCGAAAAAGTTAGTTTGCATAAATACACATCTCGGATTATTTCAATATAACAGGTTACCTTTTGGTGTTAAAGTAGCTCCAAATATTTTTCAACACGTTATGGATCATTTATTTATAGGAAGACCAGGTATAGCTGTATTTATGGATGATGTGGTTGTAACTGGGAAAGATGATCAGGAACATTATGAAAATTTATTGTTTGTTTTTGGTAAATTGAAAGAAATGAGTCTTACAGTTAGTGTAGATAAATGTGTATTTTTTGCAGATAGTATACATTATTTAGGGTATATTTTGTCTAAGGACGGGCTACAACCTGATCCTAAGAATGTAGAAGCAATAACTCAAGCTAGGAATCCCACTAATGTCACAGAATTAAAAGCATTTCTTGGTTTAATAAACTATTATATGAAGTTCTTACCAAATGTGTCAACAGTGTTAGCACCACTGTATAATTTATTAAAAAAGGATATTAAATTTATTTGGAACCAAAAATGTAAAGAATCTTTTGAAAGTATAAAAAAAATGATGATATCTACTCACATTTTATCTCATTATGATCCAACACAAGATTTATATTTAGCTTGTGATGCTAGTGCATATGGAGTAGGTGCTGTTTTATCTCAGAAAAAGTGTGGCATTGAAAAACCTATTGCATTTATGTCTAGGACATTAAATGAGGCAGAGAAAAGATATAGCCAAATAGACAAGGAAGCTTTAGCATTGATATTTGGTGTTACTAAATTTAATAAATATTTATGGGGTAGAAAATTTACCTTGATTACAGATTCTAAGCCTTTATTGAGCATCTTTGGTCCTAAAAAAGGCATACCTACCATAGCAGCTAGTAGACTTCAGCGATATGCATTGTTGTTGTCTGGTTACAATTATAATATTATTTATGTGAAATCAGAGCATAATAATGCAGATGCATTATCTAGGTTACCATTAGAAAGGATTGAAAGTAAAAATGTATTAGAATATTCATATTTAAATTTTTTGAAAGATAATGTAAGCTTACCTATTGATTGTAATTTAATTAGGAAAGAAACTTTATTAGATCCAGTGCTAAAACTTGTGTTAAAATATATAGAACAAGGGTGGCCAAATTATATTAGTGATATTAACTTAAAACCTTACTTTATTAAGAGAGAGCAATTGTCAGTGGAGCATGGAATCATTATGTATGGATATAGAGTTGTAATACCTAACAAGTTAATTGCAACTATTTTACAAGAGCTTCACTCTACACATTTAGGTATTGTTAAAATGAAATCAATAGCCAGGAGTTATTTCTGGTGGCCTTCTATTGATAATGATGTACAGTTAATGGCAAATAGTTGTACTACTTGTATATTGGAAAGGCCTAATCCACATAAAGTGAAATTACATGTGTGGAACTATCCTGAAAACCCATGGTCACGATTACATGTAGATTACTTAGGTCCTATACATGGAAAGTATTATTTTGTATTAGAGTGTGCTTATACAAAGTGGATTGAAGTGGAGGAAGTTAGTTCAACCTCAGCAAGTCAAGTTATTAAAATTTTAAAAAGACTATTTACTACTTTTGGTTTTCCAGACTTAATATACAGTGACAATGGACCTCCATTCCATTCCATGGAATTTACATCATTTCTTAAAAATTTGGGAATTAAACAATCATTTTCACCACCTTATAATCCACAAACAAATGGTTTAGCAGAGAGTGCTGTTAAGATAATTAAAAAATGTATTAAAAAAGCATTTTATGAAAAGAAAAATGTAAATGATTGTATTAATTCATTTTTGTTAACATATAGAAATTGTAAGCATATGACTACGGGAGAAAGCCCAGCATACTTGATGTTTAAGCGAAACTTAAAGACAAAATTTGATTTATTAAGACCTAATGTAAAAAAACATGTTCAGTATAAGCAGGAATTACAAAAGAAATATGCAGGGGGTAGCAGAGTAAGAGAGTTAGAAATAGGGAAAAGTGTTTTAGCTAGAGATTATAGAAGTAATAGTAATAAGTGGATGGAAGGAATAGTATGTAAAAAACTTGGTCCAGTTACATATTTAATTAAATTGTTAAATACAAATATTATTTGGAAAAGACATATTAATCAGATTTTGGATAATCAAATAAACAGTAATTTAGATGATGATACTTTTGATACCGAGTTAGTGTTTAAAGATAAAGAATATCCAAGTGTATGTAATGAGACAAGTTCAAGTGTAATTATAAAGTCACCTAATACTGTGTGTAGTAATTCTGTTGTACGGAAAAGTGAGATTTTGCCTTCTGTTGAGAAAAATGTGTCAAATGGGTCTCAGTTAAAGGAAATAGTTAGTTCTCCACAAAAGACAGAATCTTCACCACTTGTTTTAAAGAGATCTGTTAGAATTAGAAAGAAACCAGACAGACTTAATTTATAGATAGTACTGAAGAAAAAGAATGTAAAATTTAGTGTAGAATTCATAGTGGGAGAGTGTTGTGTATACTATACTTAAATGTTAAGTAGTCTATGGTCTGTATTAGCATTATTGTTTATGGTTCATCTATGTAAGCACATTTTGAGAATAAGCATTGTTGAAAATACATTACAAAACCCATTCAACCACTTTAATCGAGGAAATTTGTCGAAAGTTCATAAACGTAACTTGACCCAAAACTAAAAATTATGAGTTTTTGGTGCATCAGCAATTATCGCGCTTAAACTTGATAATGAATGTTAATTAACGAAACTACTAGTCAATAATTAAAGCTTTTAGAAAGTGAAATTACATGAATTGGTGGCAAAATGTGCAATTAAAAATAGAATTAAGGCAGTTGTTTCATTCACAAGTATAGTTTAATACGATAAGATGGTCGAGACAAGATATATAGGTCCCTTCTAGCGGATCTAAATTTATATTAAAAATAGAATATGCCGGCGTCTTCGCTCGTATAGCTTAGTTATAAGTAAATTCTAAAGTCGTAAAGCTCATATCATAGCCTATTACAACCTTTTACAGTAATAGATAAAACTCCAAAAGGTTATTCTAAATCTGACTAGTAAGTTTACTCAATCAAACAAACCAAAGATATAAGAAAACTCGCTCGAGTTCGTCCCCATACAAACTTTCACCCCATTTTCACCCCCTTAAGGGATTATTTCTGGGTTAAAAACTATCCTATGTCTACTAACTATCCTTCCCAGGGTCTCAAACTTCTTACCACATTCTTCTTACCACATTTCATCTAAATCGGTTCAGTAATTTCAGAGCTTATTCGGTACAAACAAACAAAAAATCTTTCCTCTTTATAATATTATTAAGTATAGATAGGTACGTCATATCTATTAGAGTAAATATTTTGCAATTGTGAATATTGCAGGCGTGTTAACATTCCATCGATGTGGATATACTTCGACAATATTTAACAAACAAACATACATTTTTCCTATTTCTATGCTTATCCGTTCATTTAGATTTTAGCTATTCATTCGATTATTTTGACTACAATAAAGAAGAAGAATTTTTAACCCGTATATGAAAAAGTGCTATCGCAAGACTAATTTCATACACATTTAAAATAAGCCAAACAAAACTAAGTATAATTTGTTTTTTCCTGCCAATTAAGTATAGCTGTATTCTTTTTTATTACTTTATTCTCCACTATAATGACGTAATTTTCTCCTCCAACAAAGCGAAAAGTTGATTTTGAAGCATAGGTAGGGATCTGGACTATAGAATAAATATTGACCAGTGAATTTCACATAATATTTGTTAAATAAAAAAATATCTCATATTTTATGTATTAAGTAATTTCTTTTCACGAAGATAATAATTTTTTTTATTACCATTATAAAGCAATATACCTATAGTGTTTCTTTGTATATCCAATAAAAACTTTTTAACAAAAAAATAAAAATCGACTTCGAAAAAAGCACTAAAAACTAAAAAAATAACTGATTAGTAGTTTTCATTTACTATACATACCTAATCAAAAAAAATTTCAACGTCGGTGTACTATGAAAGTGTATACTTCCATACACTTTCAAACAAAACAAAAATTATCCAAATCGGTTAATAAATGACGGAGTTTTGAGGTAACAAACATAAAAAAACATACAGCCGAATTGAGCACCTCCTCCTTTTTGAGGAAGTCGGTTGAAAAAAGACGCTGGAACAGGGCAAGTTAGAATAGAGTCAATCGTGATGTCTGTTGTAATTTTCACAGACCCAATCTTAATTACTATAAAACTTTTTTTAACGATGTAATATATGTATTTTTTTGAAATAATTTTGCAATTTTGTCGGAAGGCACTATTTGTACCGACCTTTGAAACGTCTAACAGCTTAATCTCTCCCGTGACCATGATTGCTGTAAAGCATTCGAAATCAAACTTAGGGAACCAAAAATCCAAATAAACCAGCAAAAAATCCGAAAAATTTGTTTTATTTAAAATATCAAAATTGGCGTAAATCTAAGATATATACGTATAATAAAGTATCTCTTTACATTCAATGAACTATAACTATTTGATGCAACGATATGTAAAGCTTTTCATATTATCTCTATAATAAACTTGTCGCGTTACAGCGATCATATTTCATAATATAACCTGTTCGTGAGTCAATAGAGGCGCTGATCAACAATGATATGACAGCAATCTTCGCTGTTTGAACGATCTGTTTCTACTATATGATATTAAAACGTTGCTTTACTATAGACACGATCGTTTTGACTAATGTTCAATACGTAATCGTACTAAATGAGTTATGTCTTATACAGATATTTACGCTGTCGCTAACGAATGTGTGATAAATCATACTATAAATAGTAGGGGGTATTCTTAATAGTTAACGAAATAAAACAAAGGTTGCCGCAAACTAGACACTATCTAAAAACTGTTGACTAGAAATATAACTGATTGATTAATTACCATACACTTTTTTAATTATATTATAATAGATATTTAATATAATACTTTCTTAGATTTACGCGAATATTTGACATTTTAAATAAAACTATCTTTTCGGATTTTTTCGCGGATTTATTTTGAATTTTGGTTCGCTAAAAACCGCAATCTCTCCCGTGACTATGATTGCTGTAAGTAGTCGAAATGTCGGAAACCAAAAATTAAAATAAATCCGCTAAAAAAATGCGAAAAGATAGTTTTGTTTATAAAAGATATTTAACTATTTTGCGAATATTTTTAATAACCATATATAACTTCGGTGCCATTTATTTTTTCTAACAAGTTATTATATAATTTTTATAGGTAGACACCGATTGTATTGGGTATACACAACGAGTGTTGAGACGTGAAAATCCTTACTTTCTCCCATGACTACGCTTGTTGTAAAGCATATGAAACGTCGGTTACAACAAAAAACATATAGTGCCTAATATCGATATAAGTTATCGATCGATATAAGTTTAAGAAAATTTTAAGTTTATTTTTATACACGTAAAACACATAAAATTAAATTAAATGAGTCTTAATGTTCTGAAAAAAGCTATTTAATAATGTAAATGAATACGTTTTTTGGTTTCATGTATTGCTAGAATGAAATATTTATATAATGGCTCAAAGAAGGTTATTTAAAAACATAGCTATCTCATTCATATATAAAGTAATTAAAAGAGAGCAATCTCAAACTCAGTTTCGAAGTTTTATAAATGGTTGGATCTCTAGAGAAAACGTTTAATTTTATGAACTTTGAACACTTTAAATAGAGAGTAAGAACTTTGTCAATTTTCTACATTTCAGCTTCATTTCATAACAACGAGAATTGTTTTATTAACTTTTCGCGTGTTTGTTTAGCTAAAATTTTTCGTAACCACATTCATATAAATTATGTTAGTAATTGGACGTAAAAATATATATAAAAATTATACGTAAAAAATGTGTTTATAATATTAACTAGCGATTTACTCTTCCTTCGATCGAGTGCGTTCCTAGGATTTTTTTAAACGGAACCCTAATTCTTTTTCTAAAATAAAAGCAACCTAAGTTATTCCATATAACATAAGCTATCTGCCTGTAAAAATCCCGTTAAAATGAGTCCAACCGTTTCGGAGATTAGCCAGAACTAACAGACAGACGAAAATGTTAAAAATTGTGTTTTTCTTATAAGTACCGTATATAATTTCATATGCATTTAGTAAAAAGCTGTTATTTTAACATTACAAATATATGTACACTTCAATTCTATTTATCTGTATAGATTATAAATAAAAATCGATTCTTAATTAATAATTATATTTCTGCACAACTAACAGTACATATTACGAGTACTATGTAAACAAAACAAACAAACAAATGGTTAAATTATTTTGATAGGATATATTTAATATATGTATACTATTTTAATAGAAGAGAGTATACTATACGATGGCTTTATATATAATTATGAAACGTGTTTGAATTCATTATATATTTCATAATAAGCCCACGGCCAGATGGACTTTCAAGGTTTCGTATATTATATAGTGGTGACGTAATCTATGCCTAAACAGAAATTATAATAGTATGACTCTGAGGTAGATGTACTTGGAATTAGGTTTAGGCTTTGCTTATTTACTCATCTCAGACTAAACTACAATAATTTCTTTTAATATTAAAAATTTCATATTAAAATTGTATGGGTCTAATCTAATACGAGTATATCCATATTTTAAGGCATTTTGTAGAGGAATTTTAACTTACAATAAAGTTACTTTTATTTGTATATACTTAAGTTTTAAATTACCTTCTTTCTCATAATATATATTATATTTAGAGCTTTAATCATTTTAGTGGTAGCTACCTACGACTCCTTATAATAAACCTGAAATTTGTATTTAGCGCAAGTTAGATTTACTGTTTTTAAATAAAATATAGCTATTTTGTATGAAATTTCTCCCTGGTTCTTTTTGTTTTTATTATTATTTCTTTCGAAATTTGCCATTAACAATGCATTTTTTCTATTACATTTGGCAAAGATATGGCAGTTCAATGGAAGGACAGATAAACAGGCATAAGTAGAAGGCGAGATGACGACAGCAAAGCTCAGGTAAGCTTGATAATAACATCATTCCTGCTAAACTCTAGACTATGATCATAAAACTTTAAGAACTTGAAACCTTGTAAGTGTCGTTAATCTGAAAGTATTATAAAATAATTTGCACTTTTCACCTCTTCTCATGTGCAATTTTCTCTCTGTTTGTTCTTACTCGTAGTTTCTCAAACCGAATGTGTTAAACACGTAAATAGAAACAACGTAACAGAAGTACACGTAGAATCATCTAAATTATCACTTTACACTTTCTAACGTCCGTATTCTGTAAATATTAAATTATGTGACGCCACTGTGGTCGTGTGACCCAACTTTCGATGGGCAAACACTTCTAAAGTACACACATTCGTAAATGGAAATAGCGGCAGTTATTTTTGAACAATACA